AGTCTGGATATCTCTTCGCGCTGGCATAGCTCTGGTTTGCGCGTCCTCGCCTGAGCGCACAAGTGTTTTTTTTTAATTAATATTTTATTCGTCTAATTATAAAACAAAAATGAAAACAAAATTGCAGAGAGATCTTGTAAAAGCCTAAATGACCTGCCTGCATCTTACCGTCTTCCGGCTCTTTCTGGTTCTCTCCGTTTTGTCCAGTAAAAGATTTGGTTTCGGTCTCCTCCACGGTGGAGGACGGCTCCTCTTTGCTCGCGCTCTCATCTTTGAAGAAAACAAATCAGCGTCATTTTCCCCCGCCATGTTTTTTTTWAAATATTATATTTTCAGCTGATTGTGTTTGTGTTCAAACAAATAAAGATCTAAGTGAACACGTGTCTGACCATGTGCAGTGAGCGCTGCTGTCAGATAACTGGAGGGTCTGAACTGATAGGGACTGTTCCTTTGTTGCAGCTCAGYTCGCTCCGGTGTGTAAACCTTAAAGCACAAAGGTTTGAGCAAATATTAACATTTGAGTCAAATTAAATTATTTTTATAATAAAAAAAGATTTATTCAGAGTGTTTTATTGGCTTTTTGTTGTGTTATTGAAATAATGACACATTTACACACATGCTCAAATCTAAAAACAGAATATGAAATTTAAAAAAGGGAGAAAAGTTCAAAGAAACATTTCATGTTAGAAGTGACTCACTTCTGTGAAAGGCGCAGGCATGTGGTGCTCTGATAACTGTTTGCCCTGCGCGTCTCTTTCAGAGGACGGGCCCACGTGGAGGCTCAGTTTCTGGGACTCAGCCGGACCCCCCTCCATGCCTCTGGAGTCTGAATCCTGCGTCAGACCGGGAGAAGTCCGAAGACACACCGAGGAGGACAGAGGCCTGGAGTCCTCCTGCTCGTCGGGCGTCTTGTTTGTCCCCACGTCCACGTCCGGCTCGCCCTCRCTGTCCACGCACGGGGACACGGAGCGGTAGCTGGAGCTCTCGCTCAAAAAGTCGGGCGACAGGTACCCGGTGCGACCCCCGCTGTACGCCCCTCTGGTGCCGTACAGCTTGGCGATGCAGTCGGCGTCCTTGATGACGGGTCTGAACGCGGACACGTAGCTGATTTTCCGGGAGGGCAGGCTCACCCCCTCCGCCGGCCTCCCCTCGTCCCCGGATTTGTCGTCCTCGTTGCGCGCGGACTGCGTGCTGGAGCAGCGCTCGTTCTCCACCAGACTGTCTTTGGACGTGTTGGTGCTGCGGTCGCTGCTCTCGGACATGTCCACGTCGGTCTGCCTGGGGGGACAGAGCAGCTCCACGGGCGGTGGGGGTTTGTGCGCGGCCTGCGGATAGGGAGGCATGGGGAGCGGCCCCGCTGCGGGCCAGAACATGGGGAAGGAGTGATAGGCGCTGTCCTTGGTGCCGGGCCACAGGACGCCCGGCAGGCCCGCCTTGCTCTGCTCGCTCATCAAGCCGTCGTCCTTTTTCTGGCACAGGCCGAAGGCCGGGAAGCCGTACGGGTGGGGGAAGAGCGGCGGGGGGATCTTCTGGAGCATTCCGAAGCCTTTGCTGGGCACCGGGATGACCGGGTAGCTGCGCGCGCTGCTCATGGCGCCCCGGGTGTCCTCGCAGCTGAGGATTTTCGCGGGTATCTCGGGTGACTCTCGAGATCGGTTGGGCGCATGTAGTTTCAGAGAGGAGCCGGACTCGGAGCCCCCGCCGCCTGGCAGCGTCCTCTTGCGGCTGCCCCCGTTGAACATGGCCTTCACGTCCTCCCACGCGTGCATGATGTCCAAGGGGCTGTTCTTATCCGTCAGCTTGAGGTGCCGCCTCCAGGAGTTAAAGTTAGCCGCGTCCGGCTGCGTGTACTTGGACTCAGGCGTGCGGTGCGAGTGAAAGATGAATTTATTCGGGGAGAAGTACATGTTGCAGTAGGAGCACTTGATGCACTTGGCCCTGGAGCTGTTGTATCGGGCCGGGATGAAACTGCCCCGGCTCCCCCAGGCGCACTCGTGCGACACGTCGAAGGCGAAATTCTCCGGAAGTTTGGGAGGCGAGTGAGCCCCCAGGAAGGACTTACAGAGTCTCTCGGCCTCGCGCTTGGTGATCATCCCGCAGCGCCTGGAGGAGATCGGCATGGCCCCGGCTCTGCGCAGGATCTCCAGCTGCACTGGCGTGCACTGGACGCAGGTGATCCCCAGCGCCACGCGCCGGTTGTGGATCTCGTTGTAGCTATAGTTCTTCAACAAGGTGTTCGATATCTGCGCGAGGCAAAGTCTCTCCTGGCCATCTATCACCAGGGACACGATGGGTATTCCGTACAGCACTGTCTCTCCCACTTGGTTGGGCTTCAGGCTGGCGCTCGGGTAGGAAAGTTCTTGTTTGGAGTTTGGCGACGAGCTGGAGTCTCGTCCTGCTGGTATGGAGTCCATTCTGGGGAGACCTGGAAGCTGTGAAAACATTTAATTTAGGTCAGCTTTATTTTTTGCTAAGTCTTTCAAATATATGCCTTCATTTTTATTTATTTGTTGATTTTTAACTTTATAATTTTAGAGCTCAGATTATTATAAAAACAAAGCAACATGGTTGGGTTTTGGTTTTACGCACAGTCTCGCTTAAAGGATTTTTTTTGCCTGAGACATTGAGCATTAAATGTACTGTAAATGGGGAATGTTAAAAACGAATACAATTTGAATTGAATGTAAAGCTTGTTAAATTAAATAACCTGAACAAGAAAAACTGCATGAGACATAAACTGTCACCAAAAACGCACCTGAAACGCGCCCTCGGCTCCCCTCCGAACTCACAGACAAGCGCAGGTGGATGTGATGGAACCGGATGCTGCAGAAATAATCAGAAAGTCTGTGTTGGGAGGATGTGAAGACGTTTCGCTTCAGGAGCAGGTCTCAGCAGTCGGCGCAGCACCGCCTCCTCTCCTGCTCGCCGTCCTCCCGTTTCTCCCTCTCTCTCTGCAGAGCGCGGAGGACGCGTTTGTGTTGCGCCACCAGCAGTGGTGGTGTCCTCATGGCAGGCAGACTGTAGTACAGCCCCTTCTACAACAACGACAGCAATCAAGTGACGGCAAAAAAGAAAAAAAAAGGAAAAGAAACTTATGGCAAGGCACTCACAGGCAGGCAGCCCGCAGATCCGTGACCAATAAAGATGGTTTGATGTGAGTGTTTTTGGATACTCTGGTAGCCTGAAGGTCTGTATGTGAGACGGTGAAGACAAAAGGGATGTATTTTATTCCCAACAATGTTAAATACATTTAAAATGTGTTTAACACAACTTTAATTATGATAATTTCATTATTTTTTTTCCTTTTGGGGTGTTTTAAAACGCAGCATTATTGTCTTTACGCAGGACGAGGGTGCGGCGATGAATACAAGCGCGCAGGCCTCCACGTGCTGGGTTCCCACGTTCATATAGGGCCCGCGCGCGTTCTGACAATAAGCATCTGCTGTGAGGGTCACTCTGATCCGCTTTTCATTATGTTACCCCTCCATCCCTCCCGGTGCTCAGAGAAAAGAATCAGACAGAAGAACAACGTGGAGCAAACGCACAATAAGTGGTCGACATTTACCTTTTGAAAGCCAATCAAAAAGGTTTTATGTTAATCTTTTGTTTGTTTTTTTCTGTCTCTCCATCTCTGTGTGACGCGCACGCGCAGCGACAGGCACTGATGTAATATTGATGAAGGTAACGGGACACGTTCTGCTCATTGACGGAACTGTCCACAGCAATAATGACAACCTGTCCGTAATTATTCACTCAATGACAGAGGAAGGGTGATACATAATATTTACTTTAAGAGCAAAGCATTAAGATATAATAA